TGCCATCCATCTGTTTGCTTGTGGGATAACTTCCTGTCTGAGGGTCTTCCCGTGAAAAGCATCAGACTTTTCCATGCCTTTGATGCTTTAATGGTCTCTGGTTAATGTTTACTGGAGGAAGCACATAGACTTAGCTGTGGGCCAAGGAGTCCAGATTCTCTGAAGCATTTCACAGGTGTGCAGACCTTGCTGTGATTCAGCTTCCTGGTCCTTTCATTTTATGGATTTTATCTTTGACCTCTGTGGGCCTAAGACAGGGATTGAGGACTATGGTATTTAACTAGCCTTGGCATTAGATAAATCTAGAATTGGGCTTCACACCCATTGTGTGACCTTGTTCACATTCTCAGCCTTCTGTTTTCTGGTCTGTAAAGTACAAAGTGATAATTGCATCCCAGGTGATTGTCAGGCTGAAACTTGGCAACTACTGGTCCTGGGCCCAGTAGTTGACTCCCAGCAAGATGTCAACAAATGAAAGCTTGATGTGTCTCTGTCCGTCTTGATCTGTTCCCTTCCTTTCTCTAAAATAAGACCACTTGAGATACCCCATGTTCTTTAATACTTGTGGAAATCTTTAAAATATTCTCTCCTGCATTTTGAGCAGTGCCAACTCATACTTCGAGATAGCTGGGTTGCTCTAAACAGCTTATCTCAGCGGCAACATTCCTGGAAGCTTCGCAGCTATGGCTCAGATGCTCTTGGCTGGGTTCTGACTCTGCTTATAGCAGGTGCAGAGGAAGCCAGCCCTGCTTAACTAGGAGGGAGCCTTCTAGAAGACTAGATGCAGGTCTGATGCTTTGCTGTTGCTTCACACTGTTCATCCTGGAAGAGAGCTAGCACAGCAGTTTGAAGAGGCAGCCCAGATTTTTCAAAAAGCTTTTCCTGTGGCTGTGTCTACCTGAAACAGGTGGCTAGATCACTCCTGTTGGCAAAGGAAAGGAAGCCATCAACCTGTGGGGAAGGCTTTTTGAACAGCTTTGCAATGCCAGATGGGTTCAAAGGGCACAATGTTATATATAAAGTTTAATATACTGAGTCCTAAGAGGTTTTGTAACTTAGGGTTTTTGTTTTGTTTTGGTTGGTTGGCTGTTTTGGATTTTTTGTTTAGGGTTGGTTGGTTGGTTGGTTGGTTGGTTGGTTAGGTTCTTTGAGACCCAGTGTCATATAGACTAAGTGACTTCAGACTTGGAATCCTCTGACTTCAGCCTCCTTCAATTTCAAGTGCATGTCACCACACTTAGCTCTAAGAATGTTTTTATGTAAGTTTAAGGAACTTAGGGTTTTTGTTTTGTTTTGGTTGGTTGGCTGTTTTGGATTTTTTTGTTTATTGGGTTGGTTGGTTGGTTGGTTGGTTGGTTGGTTGGTTGGTTGGTTAGGTTCTTTGAGACCCAGTGTCATATAGACTAAGTGACTTCAGACTTGGAATCCTCTGACTTCAGCCCCCTTCAATTTCAAGTGCATGTCACCACACTTAGCTCTAAGAATGTTTTTTATGTAAGTTTAAGAAGAAACTCAGAAGCAATAAACTGTTCTTCACTAATGATTAGTGACCCATAGGTAGGAGAGATGGCTCAGGGATGAAGAGCACTTACTGCTCTTAGGAAAGACCCAAGCTTGGTTCCCAGCACCCACATTAGGAGGTTCACAACTGCCTGCAGCTGCCCATAAAACACATATATAAATCTATTTATTCAAAGCTGGGCATGTTTGTGCACACCTAGAAGTACAAAAAGATGAAGGGGTATGACACTTCCTCCAGTAATTAGTGATCCAAGTAGAGAACAGTTCTTTTTATGTGAATTATCATTCTTCAAATATAACAGTATAAGTCAATGATAACCTACATTCCTAACTGTATCCTATGAAGACATAGTTGGCTTCAAGGTTGAAAAGTCACACTTAAAGACATCAGTGAAAACCACTTCACCCGTTTCCCAGTCAAGTCAAGTAGGTAATACTCACCATCGCGCCTGCTCCTATGATTCCCGGGAACCACCACTCATAGCAAGAGATGGGGTTTTGAGATGCTGAGTCTCCCTCCACTAAGCTGATACCCAGAGGTATACAGTTGATAACCACTCCTAGAATGATCAGAATCAGCAGGCTAAAGCCATTGCAGGATGTCCACCCCTCACAGCACGTCATGGTTGTCCTGGTTCAGTTGGAAACGTCCTCAGAGTGCCTGGGTTTGTGCATCTGCCTGGCCTTTTATCCAATGTTCTGGTTAAAGTTTAGCACATATGAAAAATGAGTTGCCAAAAGCAGTTCAGAGTCCAGTGCGCCCTGGAATTATTATGAGGATTATGACGGGAACCAATAATCATTTCGTATTATGATAAGATGAAGGAAAACAGGTAGAAGTAATCTGTGGTTGCTGTACGACGGAGAGTAAAATCTGACAAAAATAGACTTGTTTGACATACTCCTCTAAAATATTCCTTTACTGAAATGTCTTATAAGATGTAAAAAAGAAAAGTATACCCAATTAGAATAAACTGCTTTTCATATGTTGATATTATTGTTATGTATTAAGTATCCTTATTTTTTGGAGTTGTTTCATAAGAATATGAACATGTATAAGATTAGGAAAATATTTCTTCTCTGCAAGGATTCCTGATTATTCTAAACCTTAGTATTCCATTTCTGGCTGTTTGCCCCCATACAGCATTTTTGATGCTGAATTATACCAGTCTTATGAAGTAGATAATTTGTACAGAGCCCACCTATAACATCTGGGAAGTTTGGCTAATGGAATTAGAAGGAAAATGATCAAATATGGAAACCATGACAAAAGCAATGGGCATAGAGATAATAGTGTCTGGCTTCTTTCGAACCTTGAGCCACGTACCACAGTTTCTCTTGCTAGACTCCATGCTTTCTCCTACTAGCTTGTGAGTCCCTCATGGAAAGACTTAGATGGGAGAAGCTTCAAGTGTGACAGTGCTTGTTCATACTGAGCGGTCAGGTCACCATAAAACCCCCCGCCCCCGAGGCTGCACTGATGGTGGGTCCCCAAGAGGGCCAGAGGAGCAGCAGCAGGAGCTGGATCCAGGCTCCCACATGTATGGAGGCCATGTTTTAAGATGCAGGGATGGCCTCTGCTCTCATTATTACCTAAACTGGCCTGTTCCATTTCTGATCACCGACTGGAAGGTGAGTCATTGGGCACCTGATTGAGAGTGGGCAGTAAAATTCAAATGAATACATCCAGAAGAAACATACAAACGTCAGCCAGCTCTATCTGTAACACCCTCCTTCTATTCCCAGAGCACAGATGCCACAGATGCTATTGGAGATGATGATGGAGAGAGTGGTGGAGGCGGGGAGGAGGTGGAGGGACATACATGTGCTTGGAGAGGAGGTGGCTTAAGTGACCAATCAGTGGCTTTCTACATCTTGGTTTCTACCTTACAAAGAACAACTACAGACCTGTCCTATAGTCTCATAATAAATTTCCCTTTTCTACTCTTTTTAGTGAGTTTCTACTTTTCTGCGACCAAAAGAGCTAAAACCAAAAGCTATTAAAGCCAATTATTGGTAAGTACACTTGTTTATAAGTACAACTGTTTGGCACATGGCATGACAAAACCAGTAGGAGTCCAGATGTTCAGAAGAAAGAAGTTTATTCAATTGGGCTGGGAACCAGTGTTGCGTGAGGCTTTGAAAGTGGCTAAAATTTGACCGGAAAGTGATGAGAAAAGCATTCTTGTAACCATGTCAGTCACTCACAAAAAAATCAAAATTCTTCTGGCTGTGTTAAGTGAGAAGAGATGCTGTTGAGAGATTCTGTCTGCAAAATTGCAACAACAACAACAACAAAAAAGACCAGAGGAAAAGCTGTTGGTTTTGCTTGTTTGCAGAACACCTTCCCAGGACATGACAACTGAACTGTTGGCAGGGAGGCTAATATCTTTACAGCCTTCAGAAAGACAGAGAAATCAAGCCACTGTACCTAGAACAGTCAGGTTCAAACACTTCCATTTAGGTGCAGGTTGGGAGACCACTTCCGCTGTTTTCATCAGCACACTGCCACACACTCCAGGCTGGTGACTGAACCCTAGAACACTGACCTAACTATTGCCATTTCAACTTCATCTTGAGGTCTATGAAACTGTCATTGGATCCACGAAACACAGACCATTCTCAAAAGGCAGACGATTCAGTGTTGTGTGTTCCTTTTCAAGAGCAATAGACAGGAGCGAGAAGATGCCCTTTGACTTGTGCCGTTTTCCTGTATCTCTCAGAGATCCATCTAATCATTGCGTAACCAGATTCCAGATACAGAAGATGCCTTTGTTGTACTGGAGGGACAACCAGAAAGATACCATAATCCCCATAGCTATCTCGTGAAATGTTATAACATCAGATCCTTTGGAAACAATTTGAACCATGTTTATGCTTGTGAGTCTAGAATGACAGGTAATATTTTTAAAACAAGTCAGGACTCTCCAGCGCCTACTGTCTTTTCTATCCTGTCTCCAAAGTTCACATGATGACAAGCTAGGTCTTAACCATGCAGCCTGCCGCCTGACCTGTTGAACTACTCCAGCAAGAATTCAAGGGATATGAAAAGGTAGTAAACATTCACCAAAGTTGCCTTAGCATGTCTCCTGAAACCAATGAGAGTCTTGATAGAGTTTGAGACATATGATGCTCATAAATGCCCATTGATTTTTATGAATTTTATGAATATACATGTATATATGAATTTTCCTCTTGTATACTATACAGCTGTACACTTAGGTGTTTTCCAGCTCTGCTCACTTACAACTAAGTAAGACCATGTGACTATTTATGAATATACATGTATATATGAATTTTCCTCTTGTATACTATACAGCTCTACACTTAGTTGTTTTCCAGCTCTGCTCACTTACAACTAAGTAAGACCATGTGACTACGTCAAACCAATTGGAAGAGAGGGAAAGAAAACCATGTCATTTTCAAGCCAAATTGCTTTGTAAGCACTAGGCTTTGCCTATGTTGTATTCCACCATAGACAGGGGACAACTAAACTATTTAGAGGTCATACATTGACTGTGTCAACACCTTCTTCAACTTAGATCCCGAATAACTAAGTGGCGAGCAGGTCTTGTGGCCCACATTTCTTTCTGCCCACCTAAAGCTACCCAGGATTATTGACATCAGCCAGAAAAACTTCTATAGACTCACTGTACATTTTTGTGTCTATTTGTTTCAGTAGCTAGCATTTCCCTATTATATTCAATGTCAAACCTTGTCTATCTCTTGCGGGGGGGGCATTATTTTTGAGATACTGTTTCTCTTTGTGTAGTCTTGATTGTCCTGGAACTCACTCTGTAGACCAGGCCAGCATTGAACTCACAGCAATCCACTTGCCTCTGCCTTCTATGGTCCTGGGATTAAAGATGTGTACCACCACCACCCAGCTAACCCTGGTGTATCCTATAACCTTCCTGGAGTTTGCAACCTGTGTCACTAAAACATCATTTCCAACAGTCAGCGAAAAAAATCAAACCAAAGACAGTGAAACACAATATTTTTCGATTGTTTTATTGATAAATTATATTGGGGAAAGAAGAGAACACTTTAAAGCTAAGACACATGCAGTATACAACCAATGTAAGCAGATGTGTAAGTACAGGTATTTCTTCAAAGGTAAACATTTCAAAATCACAGGATGCATTCCTTTTCTATTTTATTATTATTATTAATCATAGTTTTTTTTTAAGACAAGCTTTCTTTATGCAATAGTCCTGGCTGTCCTGGAACTCGCTTTGTAGACCAGGCTGGCCTCAAACTCAGAAAGCCACCTGCCTCTGCTAGCATTAAAGGTAAAAGACCATCACTGCCCGCCTTAGAATGAATTCTTCCATTCAGCTGAGATCATTAATGTGAATTTTCTGAACCTTCATGAACTTTGTCTTGTTTTCATGACAATGCAGGTCTAATGTATGTATGCATTACAAAAGTATATGAACCTGGATCCTACCATCACCTGCCCAGAGGCCAGCTGTCATCCTAGCAGCAGCACTGCTTCTTGCAGCCACACTTCTGCTGGCAACAGCCCTTCCCACCACCACAGCCCCAGC